CGACCCATTTGCTAAAAAAATGCTCAGCATGGGATCGGTTCATACTGAGACCAATTTTACAGTTCTCAACCATGGCGATATCTGGTCTAACAATATGATGTTCAAATATGACTTTCAGAAGCGACCTATTGCAGTGAAGTGAGTCATAGTCATATATATTTATTTGTAAGAACCTGGGCCTATCTTGTTGTCTTCCACTACTCTCCTCTATTCCGGGTGAACATTCGCCTTTTTCGGATTACCATCCTTTTCAGAAGGCCTTAAAACCGTATCCGGTCGGTGGTCTACCTCTGCCATGTCTTCCACAAAGTTGATCTTCCAACAGAGGTTTAAGGATTGACTCTCTGGGCATACCCAATCCCTCTATTTGGTTACCTCTCACAATTGAAAACAACCTCGCATAGATCTTACAAAGCTCGTTATTGGTGCAAATTCTCCACTGTCAATGTTCACACACCAGATCATATATCCTGTGGAGAACCCTTTTCTCCTATGCGAACAGCTTCCTTCTAAAGCCTTCGAAATCACCCAAGTCTGAGAATCACATAATTTGCAATCCATCTTGTGAAAATACAACCGCGCTGTATATATATCTTATTGTCGCTGATATGGATATCAGAGGCTCCTGAATGCTCCTCTGGCAAGATTAAGTCCGTTCTAGATTCGGATCACCGTATTGGTCATGTAATACGAGTGAGGCGTTACATTTAGGTCTTTGTTTAACCTTCCACAAAGGTAAGTTAACACCTCACTCGGGCTGATCCTTTGACCCTCTATTCATTTTGATGATGAGTGGACTTCAAGTCCTTCAAGAAGAACTTGCGTCTTCACAGCAGCCATTCTTGCCTTCTTCCCCTTTCACCATCTAGATTCCAGGTTGGTGCATCTCCCTGCGCGCCTTACATTCCCACTCTTGTTGTTTTTGTTTTGGTACTCCCTTTTCTCGCCCTTCAGAATGTACAGGGTTTTGCCAGACCAGGGGGGAGGAAGGAGGATTACTACCAGAGTTAAAAGACTATTTGTATCAAATTATCTCATATATCAGCTTACCGGGCAACGGCGACGTGCACACGCGTTAGCTCGCTCTGCTACCCTCCCTCCCTCCATGAATTTATCTCTTATAAGCCGGGATTCGAACCTAGAACCTTGAGCATTAGAAACGCCCTACTACTGAATTACCCCACTCGGCTTTTTTTACTCCGCTCTACTGTAGGATGTAACCATTCATTCAAGCAGTCCCAGCAACTCATCAGAAAACAGCTTCTGTAGGGCAGGACCAAGTACTGATCCCTGAGGCATACCCTCTCTATGGAAGATTCTTTCTCGTTTAGCCTGTGGAATTTTTTTTTCGATCGCCCCTTTCAGGCTATGCCAGGTTTTTCCGGGCCAGGGAGTGAGAAGGGGGATTAATGCCGGAGTTAAAAACTTTCTCCCGTCTGCACGGGGACGTGCACTCGTAATTATTTTATCGTCGATAACTTTGTTATCAGGTTGTTGGGCAACGCACGGTACACACAGTGTTCCTCTTCCCCTTCGACTGTCCCGCTACTAGCCTGTATAGATTTAGATTTGTTTTGTGTCTGAAACACGGAACGTATCTCGATCTTCCTACTTTGTATAGAATAGGTTGGTTACCTGTAACTCCCCAAGATGAGATAAATATCCAGAAACGGTGGAGGGCGGAGGATAGCAGAAGAAGACATGAAGGATTTCACTATATCAAAAGAGACTGTAGGATTTAAATATACAATCGGAAGTCTGTGGGCGTTGAGTCACTGAGAAAAGGAGATATGAATTGATATCATCCCACATTTAAGGTTATATATTTCGAAGTAAATATCATCTCATAACATGAACTTAATTAAGATCAAAATTAATATTTGTCCTTAAACCCTAAATATAAAATATCCTTCGACCATTACATTCTAACCCCTTTGCATCTTTTTTGTCCAGTTTCGGTACCGGTCCTATTTCATAGATTAAATTATCAAGAACGTAAGATTACATAATCTTTTTCAGATTTTTGGACTACCAAATACCTCACTATAACACACCATGCATAGATGTTACCTATTTCATGTACCTCGGCACCCAGCCATCAGTTCGTCGAAGCAACTACGAACTCCTGGTGAAGACTTACCACGACTCCTTGGTCAGAACTTTGGACAAGTTCGGTTTCACTGGTACCAAGCCAACTCTTGAAGATATAACCGATACAATGAAGCGACTCGAGTTCTTCGGATTGTGTTTTTTTGTAGAATCATACGCTTCTCTCGTTTGTTCATCGACAGAAGCTTTTGACATGGAGAAAATTCTATCAACTGATGGAAAAGAAGGGTTCAATGGAGACGTTTTAAGAGAGCCTGGAATGATTGAATGCTTGGGGCCAGATATCATTGATTTTGTCGAGAGGCATGTTCCTGAGCTATATTAAAGTATTATCAGTATAATCATTCATTAATTAGTGATTGTAAAAATACAAAATCACGTAATTATGTGTATTTATATATATATATATATATATATATATATATATATATATATATATATATATATATATATTATATATATATATATATATATATATATATATATATATATATATACAGCAGAGCCTTGAAAAGTTTATTATTTAACCATGTAATAATCTTTTTCAGGATTAAATGTAATGATGTAATAATGTGATGTAAATGTAAATTATAAAAAGTATATTAAGAATAAGTAGTGTGCTAAATAATTTATAATAATATTTGTAAATAATATTAAATAGCATTAAATGATTGATTTATTTGTTGATAATTATTAATAGATGGAATATCCTTTAATTTCAATTCATTAACACTTTAAAAACATACAAGTTGATTTTGTAATAGACATTGTAGTTTACATGCCCTGTACGAGATACAGAGCATTGACTGTTGAAATATTTTTGATGTTTTGAGGTACAATTAAAAAAATAGTGAGGATTAAGGAGACTTTTATTTCCTCACAAAACAATGACCTCAAACAAAGAACAAAACAAAATAATCAATGCTCTACAATGTTCCCAACCAATTGAAAACTCCATCACAGTCTTTGGACATAAATGCATGTATTCGTTAGACCTGAAATTAAGAAAAAAAAAATCCTAAAAAACTGTGTTGAAAGAAAATTTGTTTGAAGAATGTAATACCGTACAAATTGTGCCTTAAAAACTTGTTTCATTAATGTTAAGAAGAGGAGAATGTGTTCACAGTTGGTTAGAGGTGCCAACTTCATTGGTGACTAAATATTATTGGAATTTATTCGATAAATAACGTTAATTTATAAATTAATACATATATACTGCTCAAAAATGAAAAGGGATATTCTATTTGATGTTTATTTTATATTTTTTAATTAAAGTACCCTTAATTTTTTTTGTTCGTTTAGGGGTTCTCTTATTTGTTAATACATACAAAGCAAACAACCATTCTTTATTTTTGCTAAATTATTAACTGATATCATATAGACAATATGATAAATACTCAGTTTGTAAACTACTCAATACTTTACAAAAGGATACGAAAAAAAAACAGTGAAATTTGTCTTAGAAGATCGTTAATTTAAATCGAAACAGGAATCATAAGATTTAACAAATGTGTAAAAGCGACATTTGTACACTAGCGGTTAGCCAAATACTGTTATCTAAAAATATTAAATAATCGACAGCAGAAGGAACAAACAAGAAACAAACTGGTAGCCTAGAGAGACGTCGAACAAGTGTGTTTATCATAGAAATGTCTGAAAGCACCTTAACTTGTCATGAAAACAGTAACAGATAATGCTGTATGTACGTATGTAGTTCCCATGACATGGTACTCGCTGTTACAGTTTATCTTGTGGCGGGCGTATGCCCTTTATTGTACTATCTATATAGTCTATTAAAATCTGGTAAGGATATGTTCTGTACTTTTCACGGTTATTGGTTATAACGGATCGAAAACAATGGGCTTTACTAGTTTGTAAAAATTATTAAAATTAGAAAGCAAAAAACTAAGACGTATCCATTAGTGTTGCCCAAAATCGGTCTTGGTCATGCAATTTTCAAGACCAAGACCTACACCGCCTAACTGTTGCAAGACCAAGATCAAGACTAAGAAAAAAAAATTGAGGCCAAATAGTTACTAATACTTGACAATTTTAGTTACTATATGCATAAGTATACTTAAATGCACAAGTATATGCATTCCTATATGCATAATATTTTTGCACTTAGCATGAGATGAGGTGTCGCCCAAAATATTGCATACGTAATATACTTTTGCATTTAACTCTTCTTATTATTTTTCATTCAAACTTCGTTAGATTTCTCAGTTCTAAAAGAATACAGTAATATCTCTCTAGTAATAATAAGCTAATAGACAACTGCAAGACTGTTACGAGATTCTTGAGCAAGACCAGGACCTAAATCAAGACTGAGTTTGCAAGACCAAGACTCGTCTCGGTCTCGCTTTTGGGCAACACTAGAATCTATGGATCAAGAAAAGTAGGAAAATAGTACTGGCCTAAGAAAAAACAAACAAATATAACTTTATTAAGGAACTGAAGACTTGGAAACAGCAATGGAGAAAAGGGGACTAATTTTTTCCGAGTCAGATGAAAGAGGAAATAACAATGCTTGGTATTAGAGGAATTCAAAAAATACTTTAAGGTCTTTTTAATGGAAAATGAGAGGAGAGAAGGGAAAAATGGAAAGAGAGAGATGAGTGAGAAAATCAAGAGAATATTGGCTATAAAGAAATCTTAGAAATGATATACGCACGGTCCTTGGATGGCAAATTAAGTTTTTATTTAATTTTGTTATTCTTCTTTGTTACATATAAGTGTTGACCAATATTTTATTGTTTTGGTGGCATTTTAACACCATTCAGCTCCGTGATATCTCAATTAATGAGATTAGCCACTTGAAGATAAGGCATAGTGGTTCAATTGATTTAAAATGTTCTTATAAAACATCTTAAGATCAATCCACAATTGACCTTGCATGTAAATTGCTCTGCTCTGTTTGCTATAACAAGGACATCAGCCATTCAGTGATACAATCTTTGAGTGTAGGGACGGTTGCAGCTTGTCGAATCGAAAAAACTATCTAAAAAAAGGTAGGAGTATTTGTAACAATTCGTTTTTAATTATAACAACGTAATTATAATCGTGTTCTAAAATCAATGGGAGAAAATAAATAATATTTTATGTTGTGGTTGTGTTTTGTAACGCCTATTTGTTTTTCGAGATGTCATATGGAAGTTTGAAATTATTTTACGAAAAATTACTCCCGGAAATATCATGTAATGAATACTGAGAAAACCGTATAAAGCGAGTGAAAATACCACACTTTTTGTCTAGTGCATAATCTTTCTTTTTTTACTTTTTTTTAAAAATAAGTTTATATATCTTCCATATATTTTAGAAATGAATAAAGAAGTTCTTGAAGTAGTTCTGAAGAAGTTGGACAAGGAGTCGAAGATCGCTTCTATCATAGATCTCCAATCGGTACCGGCATTGCCCAAAGGAGAGAATTATACATCGACCATCTTGAGGATAACTTTGAAAGTAGTTTTGGGCAATGGAAGGCAAGCCAAGAAGTCCTTCATCATGAAGCAGATGATCACTGAAGGAGAAAGCGGAGAACTCATAAAGCAGATTAACGCAGCGAAGATTGAAAGCCAGGTAACAATAATTTAAACAGTATACATATGTTGTTGAAGAAAAACAAATAATAATCTACAACACGCAACATACAACAAACACCAATTGGATTTTAAAAATGCCAAAATAATATATAAGGAAAATAGTAACAATAAAAAAAAAATTATAGAGTCAATATATATATCTAAAAATTTAAAGAATTCCGTTAACAACCATACAGATGTGGACAATATAAATACTTTTTACGCAAATGTAATTAATAATATTCGCATATAATACAATACTTAATTTAAAAGCAATATAAAAATCATAAATTAGATAAAATAATCCACTAATGCAAAACAATATAAGGAAAATCCCTCTCCACTTGACTATCCCCACCAGGACGATATAAGTCAGTCCCTCCAGAAATGACGTAGGCGAAACCCCTAAATAGCAGGACAATTTAATGTTCACTGAACAAATTATTGCGACATTAATAATGAATATATAACGGAGGACTCATCAAGTTCATACTCGATTGTTTTTAATGTAAGGTTTTAAAGTTTAAAGTTACGTACATGTAAGGATTTTTATAAGAAAAAGTGTATCGAAAATAATATGACATAGATCGTTAGACAAGTCAATTATGTGTAATAAGAAATTCTTTTTGTAAATGTTAAATGTTAATTAATAATGATATTACAATTTTCCAGACTTGAAAATGTCGAAACGTCGTAATTAATAGCTTATCAATAGTGTTGCCCAAATGCGAATCTTGGTCTTGCTAACTCAATCTTCGTCATGGTCTTGGTCTTGCGCAAGAGTCTCGCAACAGTTTAATACAATAAACTTATAAGTTTAATACAATAAAGATAATACTGTAATTTTTTATATAGGAAAAACCTAACTAAATGAAAAATTAGAGGAGTTAAATACAAAAGTATATTTTTCATACCAATTATTAACATAAAGTAACTAAGATTGTCAAGTATTAGTAACTATTTTGCCTTAATTTTTATTTTTAAAAAATCGATATTTTTTTATTAGTCCTGGTCTTGGTCTTGTTAAGTTCAAGACCAAGACCGATTTTGGGCAACAATACTTATCAATAAAATGTTGGTGAATATTGGCCTAATTTATGTAAAAAATAAAACCTCAAGACTCTTTCGTCTTTCGTCAATACTGAATTCCAATTTTATTTTAAAAACAATAAAATTTGGAAACTCATCTAATCTCCTATATATCTACCAATAAATCAATCCGAATAGAAAATAAACTTCTACATCGAAACGAATTCAACTTACAATTTATTTCCTCCCATATGCGAACAATTCAGAGTAATGTCAGGTCTCTACTGAGATAATAAGAGGAAAATCATTTTTGTAGAGGCAGTAGATATCGGTCCCCTTTATCTTGGTAAAATGATTATGTTGATGGGGTTTATGGGACCTTTACGGCCTAGCCATTTGGGATGGAGTGATTCAGCCTGCTTTCTTAGAGTCCAAGTGAGGCATTACACAGATTTTCATCCTAATCTTACAATCTCAAGATGAGTAGTCACCTCACTAATCGTATGTCTCTGGATTTCCATGACGGTAGGATCGATTAAGAATCAGGCGTGGCCCTTAGAAGGATAGTTTTGGATTTGATTGCAGTGATGTTCATCCTCCTTCTTGCGCAAAATGTACCTATCAAGGTAGTGCATTTTTCTATTTCTTGTTTGACTCTGCACTACAATTGGATACCATAACAGTGAAAACTAAGTTCCACAACGATGATACATCAATAAATACCCATTTTTCTTGCCGTTGATGGCTTACATTTATATATTTTACCCGGCCACGCGCTGCTGTGGCTTAGCCTCGCAAAATGAAAAAAGAAGAAAATAGAAAGCACATATGAGTAGATTAGTAGCAAAGGACATCTGTCATTTTTAAAAAGTTGCGAAACAAATTTGTCTGTAAAATGGCTTCAATTTTATACTAATTCTGATGATTTTTTTTCTCATGATTCAAACTGAACATTCATAATCATCTGAGTGAATACGCCGTCATTCATAATCATCAGAAACAGTCTGAGTTGAACTTATAAAACTAAATTACAAAATTAATAAAAAAGCGTACAATAGTATTGACCTACATAAGGAGAATCATATTATTTCTTCAAATGATAATTTCAATTACTGTAGTAATTATAAAATTTTCGATTAATCAATAAAAAAAATTAAAAAATGCTTGCCTACCTTCGGAAGCAAAAGGAAATGACCTTTTCTAAAGAGAAAGCAGTAAATGTTTAAAACTCTATAAGTCTGCAACGAACCGTCCGATTTCGATGTTTTTTTTTTATTTTGTCGGCAAATCAAGAATCTTTCAAATAAATATGGGTATTATCAGTCAAAAATTGTGTACTTTTTTAGTTATCGGCAAATAGAATATTGAATTCATCGTAACATTTTTCAGCTTGTTTTCGGGAAAGTATGTTATACAAACAAATTAAAAGAGTTTCAAGGAGAAGACTTTAGCCATGTTTCGTTAAAATTGGTAAAGCCGTTTCGGCGCTACAGTTTATACAGTTTTTTTTCGGCTTTGAACAGGGAAACATTTAAATTTTTATTTTTTTTACATATATAAAATTATCTTAAGATAGAAATAATACGCCAGAAACCTTCCCAGGAGTGTACGGAACAACTTCCCAAAGTTTCATGGCGATCGGTTGAATGGTTTAGTAATGCACTAAGGAAAAACAGACGGAGAGACAGACATACATTCATTTATATATATATATATATATATATATATATATAATATATTAATATCGCACTTTCAGATTTATTCTGTAGTACACAAACAGATGAGCTACCTAATGGAAGAATTCGAAGACACCGATGAGTCGCTTTGGTGTAAATTTATTCACTATGATCCGCAATCATATTCTATCTTGCTGGAAGATCTAAAGGTGAATAAACATTTGCTTTTTCATAGTAAAATAATATTAATTTAAAACTAATTTGTTTGCTTCTTATATTTAGGCAAGTGGTTACAGTTTGGTTCCTAGACAGAAAGGCTTGGATTTGGACCATGCCATCCTCGTTCTCAGAGGTTTAGGGAAGTACCACGGAATGGCAAAGGTCGTCGAACAGAGAGGAACCATCTCCAAAGATGACTATAAACCTTACATGTTGTTCACTGACTTAAAACTTGTGAAAAGTTTTCTTTACGCAAGTATTTCAAATCTTTCCAAGATTATGAAGAATAGCTGGGGTCCTGAGTGGTAAGGTCTAGAATTTATTATTATTGACATAATATTTGTAATAGCATATTTGATAATAATTTTTCGTAATAGTGATTTTTTTAGACAAATTCATTGTTAAAGAATTTGCTATAAAAAGGAGGTAGCTTTATGCTTGAGGAGGTTGGACTTAAGTTTACTTTTCTAGGAAAAGGAATATTTTTTTTTGTGAAGAGAAATTTGTGACTTTAATCAATATTTTCCATGATTTATTTAAGTTATTTAAGATAATTGCTTGAATTAAGTCTTTCATTCCTGAAAAAAAATAAACCAAATATTTTTTTAAGAGGCAAGGAGATGGTTTATTTCAATTATTTAATCCATTATTTGATATGTGAAGGGACAAACATAAATAAATATTACAGAATATGAAATGTGGTTCTTTACCTTTTTTTTTTTTTAAATTGCTACTAAGATATTTGCTTGTATTAAGTCTTTCATACCTGAAAAAAATAAACCAAATATTTTTTAAGGGGCAAGCAGATGATTTAACCCCGATCAGGCTTTTCAGAGGTTAGAGATACCTTAAGCTCAATTCTTTTAAGTCTTAAAATTCTTTATTAAGAACAAATATTAATAAATATGCTACTTTGCAGGGAAGACACAGCAAATAAACTGAAGATACCATTCGAACCATTTGCTGCAAAATGGATGAGTATGGGAACGGTTTATACTGAGACAAACTTTACAGTCCTCAACCATGGCGATTGCTGGTCAAACAATATGATGTTCAAATATGACTTTCAGAAGCGACCAATAGGAGTGAAGTGAGTGATTCTACAATAATTGGTGAATTTGAAATTTCTAACTAACTGCTCAGCATTGGAATTGCTTATTTTTAAAAGATAATTTTTTTTTTTAAAGCATACAGTAATTATAAAGTTAAAGAGAAAAAATTGAAAAATATACTTGAGGTCTTTACTTTGCAGTTTGGCAACTTAACTCTGAAACATCTTGTTTATCATGTCCTGGTGATTTCTGAACTGGTGAAATATATACAGTTCACTTGTATGTTATATGGTTGGGAATGTTTTTCATTTATAAACACATTTTTTTTTCATAAATGAATCCTATTTCATAGATAAAATCATGAAGAATATATTTTGACTTTATATTTATTTTCTTCAGATTTTTGGACTACCAAATACCCCATTACAACACACCATGCATAGATCTTACCTATTTCATTTATCTTGGCATCCAGCCTCCAGTTCGTAGAAGCAACTACGAACTCCTGCTGAAGACTTACCACGACTCCTTGGTCAGAAGTTTGGACAAGTTCGGTTTCACTGGTACCAAACCAACTCTTGAAGAAATCACCGATACAATGAAGCGACTCGAATTCTTCGGACTGGCGTTTTTCTCAATATTATACCCATCTCTCACCTGTACATCGACAGAAGCATTTGACATCGAGAAGGTTCTGACGACTGAAGGAGAAGAAGGATTCAACGAAGACGTTTTGAGAGAGCCTGGAATGATTGAAAAATTGGGACCTGATATAATTGATTTTGTAGAGAGGCACATTTCTGGTTTAAATCAAAGTTGAACCAGTAGTTATGTTTATTTATAAATACGTAAATTTTGATACTCTATTATATATAAGAAAGGGAAAATACAGTTTTTAGGTTGTTAATCAAACAATCAATGGTAAGAAAAACGGTATATAAAAAGTATACAAAAAAAAAGAAAAAAAAAAGGCCAACGTTTCGCCAATCATCAGGACAGAAGAGAAACTGAGTATGCGATTGGATCTCACGGAGTGATGTTCGATCAGCTGTTCTTTTCTGTCCTGATAATGCCTGAACTAGCGAAACGTCAATAGGTTTTTCTTTGCCTCCATTTTGGACAAATAAGCCTGTATGGTTTGATATTTTTCCAATAATAATCTAACATTTATGTTTCTGTCTCTTGGTTATTTTGTTAATAATTTATAAAAATATTAACACCACATCTCGAGCGTTTGTGATTATTATTGCCGACGTTTCAACCCAAACATGATCAACCCGTTTGAACCCCAATTCACGTATCAACCTGAATCATTCCCTAATGATGGCCCACATGTTTGGGTTCAAACGTCGGCACTAATAAAAACTTTCTAATGACTGCCACACATTTATCACCATGATGTGTTGAACAGTCGACTAACTTCAATAATACATCGTGGGCCATATATCATAAAATTGAACCACAAATTTGATTTAATTAATGCAGAAATTTTAATTATTGAAAAACATCATATAGAAGAATAATGGAAGTTCTAGATATTACTAAAAATATAGAACATACGATCAATTTTAAAACAGAAATAAACAATCTTAAAAACTAAGAAGTTCTTAATAGAATAATTTTATATATATACATAAACTGTATAACTTGTAAATACATATGCATGTAATAACTGTAATTATATCTTAGAATAATATTGAAACCCCTCCCCCCACAAAAAAAATGTAGATAACAATAAGTAGTCTATTGTTCTAAGTAATTAAGAAAATAATATTTGTAAATAATTTATGTAACATTAAATGGTTGATTTCTTTGTTTGTTGTTATCAATAGATAAAATATCCTTTTATTCATCCATTTAAATTCATTCAAACAATATTAATTTTATTCAATTACACAAGAATGAATTGGACTAATGAACATTAAAATGGTGCTTCAAAACATCTCTGTTCCAAGCCACAAACACTTTGACATCTTGTATTTGGAGCGTTTGGTTTCAAAAAAGTTTACATCTATTTTTTCAAAAAAACTTTCTATTATTTTCCATAAGTTTTTAATGCCATGAATGATATTTAGATGTGCTCGTTTCAAAACCGTTCAGATCCTTCAAAAATCAATACCAAATATTCGGTTTTCAATCACACAACTGTTGTTGATAGTTTTGTTGTTGAGCCTTGAATGGGACCCTTTGCATCACCTTCCCTATTCACCAGACCTAGCTCCAAGTGACTACCACTAATTCCAGTCTCTGCAGAACTGCTTACAGAAACTGGTCAATCGATATCCCATGATATGAAGGCACGGAGGTTAAGATAGGCGGGGCAAGTAGCTCGTAGCAACATCTGGAATTATCTGCCTCAATAGAGGGCAAAAAGCAGATGGGTAGATACCAGTAGAATCAATAAAGATGCAATAGAGCTGCCTGCAGATAATGCAGAAAGAAATAGCCCAAGATAGGAAGAGATAGCAATAGGCTTGTTAAGGCAGCAAAAGATCTACATAGTCTGTAATATTTATTATTTTCGGTTCGATTTCATTTTGTAATTTTTGTCGTTTTCTACTCGATGATATTTATATGGAGCGATATTTTGTTGTTTAAGCGGCATGTTTAACAACATCGTGTTATCTTCTTGGCCTTTTAAAGATAAGACATCATGCCAGTATAATTTATTATAAACGTTCTTATAAAACATCTTGAACCCAATCCAGTATTGACCTTGTATGAAATTACTCTAGTCTGGTTGTACAAGGACATCAGTCGTTCAGTGAGAGATACAACGAGTGCAGTGACGGTTGGAAATCGTAGAGGAAAATAATATACTTGTGAATAAGGTAAGCGTATTTATTGTTGTTAATTTTATTATTTTACCAAGCCTGATAAAGGTCTGATAAAAGACCGAAACCCGTTACGCAAAGAGAGAAAATAAAAAATATACAGGAGGACAACGTCTTGTTTATTTTTATTTTATTTTTTTTTATTATTTTAATGGAATTTACAACAGTATTACATAGAGAATACAATAAGTAAATGAGAAATTTGTAACATGGCATGTACAACATGAAGAGAAACTACCCATTGGTAGTACTCAAACTGTCTTTTTTATTAAATTAATAAGTAGATTTGTAATAAATTATTCATCAGGAAAAGATAAAATGAACTTATAAACATAATTTAAAAGATATTATAACTTATTTACAATATTTATTGCTATATATAGACAGAATTCGATCCAACCAACTAATTTTACATTATTTTTTTATGATGAAGAGACATGATTTCATATTGAAGTAATATCAATATATATATTTTTTTAATGTAAAAATAATTTTATAATGGAACAACTGCCCCCTTAAGAATAATAACTGAGTTACAAATTTAGGGGTCTTAGTTTGGCTTAGATTAATAAAAAATACAAACTAATTAAATAGTTAGCGTTATTGAAATTGTGCAGTAGATCGAAATTAAACAGTATACAAATGCAAGTAATTTTACATGTTTGCGGAAATTTGAATGTGGAGTAGGTGGTGGAGCAGGAGTTGTTTGACGGAATTTGTGGACGAGGATTGACATATGGAAGTAGGAAGATAGTTCCATAAGGAGGTAGCACGAATGACGAAGGATTTATTGAATAATGTAGTTTTATGGTTATATATAAATCTATAGATTGAGACCTGGTATTGAGAGAGTGGATAGTAACATGAGTACGTAGAGTAAGGAGTTCCAGGATGAAGGGAGGGTTTTAGGTTTTGAGGACTTGGAAAAGGAAAAAACCAAGGAGGAATTGTCGTCAGGAAGTAGGACAAAGCCTAAAAAAAATAATATTTTTATACTTTATTGCTGTCTTTTCATTAAAAATCATAACGTTTCAATACTTTAATTCGATTTTTAAGTTTTTACAATTCTAAAGTAAAATATTAATATATTGTGGAATTATTGCAAAAATATTTTAACATTTCATGAAACAATACCACTAACTACATCGAAACATATTAGAAACGTGTCCCGCCGTTCTTTCCAATGCTTCTCAGGAGCCGAAAAAAATATTTTATATAATTTCAAACAAAATTTATTCTTCCTTTGCATTGCCCGGATTTTTAGGTTACTATACATCAATTGTATCCTTTTTTGTACAAAGTAAGAAAAACGATCTTGTGCGCGCATCACACGACTTTCACTTACCACTTTCTTCTTAGCAGAAATAATTATTTTCAGACAAAGGGGAAATGAAAGTAAAAATTATTTTGTTTTTCTATATTTATTTGCAATCCATCGTGGGTATTTTTATTTGTTTAAATACTGTAATATATACAAATTTTAATTTTTATATCCCTGTATTCGATACAATTAAATATTAAATAATACCAACGAGAGTATTTATGAAAACCGCATATTTATATGAAGATAATATTGTCGGAGTCTGTATTATATTAAGCTCATGTTACTATGGAAGCCTGTTGTAATCTTTAGGGCAAGCTCGTATTCCTATGATTCCTCTATTACAATTATTATCCGTTAAGATCATTTATTCTTCCTTTAGTTAATTATTAAATTATTCCATATTTCATGTTTCACTATTTTTTATATCAAAGATTAATGTGAATTGGTTAATTATTTCAAATGATAAAAAAATAAAGGTACCTTAGAGAAGCCAATATTAAAAATTAGCCATTTAAGCGCTGATAGAGAACATCAATGAGAATAAAGCCTACATTATATTAAAAACTGCTTAATAATACACTGAGTTCAATCAAAATCGTTTGAGCCGTTTTTGAGAAAATCGTAAAAATGTGTTGAATCGGTTGTATAAAATACTACCGATTTTGACGAAAATGTTGCTGTAACATCGAAAGCATATAAAAACATTAAATACACGATTACGCTTTCATAGGACTTTTCGTTTTTGAGCTAGACTGACCTTGGAAATCTAAATTACTGCTCTTCCAAGCGACACAAATAACTTTTGAATTTAATTTTTTTTTAAAACTAGGAATTAAGTAAAACTTCTAACCTATTTTTATTCTGTCTTTAATTTTCATTTGTTAACGTGATTGGTTTTATACCATTTCCTGTATCTCACAGACGCCTAAATCCATTCACACATTCAAGAAGAACGTCATCATCAAGGGACGTCATTATTTAAATCTTATTAAATCGAATATTTCAAAAACAATCCAATATATTATAAATTGTTAAGCATTAACTCAAACAGATGTATTTGAGTAAGTTCATGTTTTCTCGATATATTTTAGAAATGGACAAAGAAGTTCTTGAAGTGGTCCTGAAGAAGTTAGACAGGGAGTCTAAGATCGCCACCATTATAGATCTTCAATCGGTACCGGCATTGCCCAAAGGAGAGAACTACTCTTCTACCATCTTGAGGATAACTTTGAAAGTAGTCCTGGGCAATGGAAGGCAAGCGAAGAAGTCATTCATCATGAAGCAGTTGATCACAAAAGGGGAAAGCGGAGAACTCATAAAAGAGATCAATGCAGCGAAGTTGGAAAGCCAGGTAAGCATTGTGTTGAATTACCGAAAAATAAAGGAATCAATTTTTTTTTAAATATTCACAATATAATACATAGTTGAATTTAAAGAAGTGCTATTATAAATGTGAGCTGATTTAATTTAATTTAATTGGGCTCCGCCAACTCTTTCTTTTAACACTTACAGATAGATTTCAAAGTAAGGGTAGTTCTCTACAGAGACGATTAGAGAGAAATCATAATCTTCAAGGCTGTAAAGAGCAGTGCTCATCTTAAGCTCGGCTCTCAGTGCCTCAAACCCATTGCATGTAATGATCACTTCTTCGGCAGTTTTCGGATCCATCGATAGATATATTCCTTCCTTCCTTCTATCCCCCAAAGAAGTCCATATCGGGTGAGAAACACCATAATCAGGTAGAGGCTAATAATTATTGCTGGTAGTGACCCAATAAGGGGTGCCTATCCTACCTCTCCCCCCTTCTTCTCCCAAGATATTTTATTCCTCACCTTTCTTAAAAACCCAACAAGCTAAGATAGAATTAGAAAAATCGTAGATCATATATAAATACATTTGCTGCGATCAGTTCCATGTGTTACTCTTGTCCATTAATCCGAAAACTCATAACCCCATCGAAATTTGTCCCCTCAAAAATTTAAAGAAACGTCAAAATATGCTCCCCTCAAAAACTGTTATGGCGGAACTTTCGCCATGAAATCATTTTTTGGACACCTCTGGACTCACTGCCTCTTCGAACAATGGCTTCTCTTAATATTGCCTTTTATTTATTTATGAGGTTGTTCCTCAACCCTCACTCGAAGGTTCTCCGGATTCCTTGCCGAGTCTTTTCTCTTGTAGGGGTATTCCAGGGGCCTATGTCCAGCAGGTCGCATTAAGACCTTCATCTAAATCTCGCGCTACTTAGACCTCAATACGCAGATCCAATTTTCACTTTTTTAATAAATATACAACATCACTTCAATTAGCCGACTTTACCCGAGCGTTACATATCGGAGTTCTGATGGCTCAATCTAATTCACTCTCCAAAAAAAAATCATGTAGTAAATTTCTTAGTAACATCTAGTGTGAGTAATTTGCTAAATTCCGTATTATTTTTTAAATAGTTGTTAAAAGCATTCAAAGAAAACTTTGCTGGACGGATTGGAACTGTTTGAGGTTCGCAACCGACCCGTGGGTCATAGTCTGGAGACCTCTGGGGTACTCGATCAAATCTTCTTAATGATGAAGAGATGGTTGACCGTGATATAATTTAGTATTTATTTGACCACACCCCCCCCCCCCCGCGATCAACTCCTTCTCAGATCAAATATTCTTGTGTGAGGAAATCGCAAGGTATAAGATATGCAAAACCTTGTGGGACGTTTATATGCTTTAGTGACGGTCGTTCTGTGAACAGGTGCAAACTTCTTCTTCGATTGGTCAGCAGGTACAAGTTCCAAGTGTAGGATGCATACCTCAAGCTACCCAACGACATTCTTATGGAAATTGTCTGGGTCTCTATGTATCCAAGACCACAGAAGGCGCCACCAATATAGCTGAATCTATCTGAGAAGGGTGACCCTCTGTCACTTTTCTAGCCAAGTAGTCCAATGATCGTCTCTTCTAGGTCGGTATCTCCAAGTCGGTAGTTGTGCATCTAAGTCGAGGGCCTTAAACGGATTCCTTGGATATTGGATGCAGTCATTGACATCCTTCTGCCTCTAGAAAGCGCAATTCTTCTAGGACACGCAAAGAACTAAATTTCAAAAAGTAGGAACAAAGTAGTGTGGGCATCTTGTCTGGGTGGTTCTCCTAATCTTGTAGAAACTACTTCTAACGTTTACAAGTACTTAATTCCTGATTCTTGGTAAGGAAAATACATTGCCGACGGTATCAAATCTCTGTAATTGCTGTAGTTCCCGAAAACAGATGATCAGAGTAACTTTATGATTTACCGCTTCCTTCATTGTTCAACGACTTTGCGTATTCGCAGAACATCTGCTACTTTACGCTTGTAGAATCCGAATTGCCGTATGTAGCTTGTTATAAACCATTTCTAGTATAAAGTACTTCCTTGATAAATATGACAATATTCAATTTAGATTAATATTTCACTTTCAGATTTATTCTGTAGTACACAAAGAAATGACCTATCTCATGGAAGAATTCGAAGACACGGATGAAACTCTTTGGTGTAAATTCATTCACTATGACCCGCGCTTATCTTGTATCGTTCTAGAAGACCTAAAGGTGAGTGATCTTATCTCTCTACTAAGGAAGTAACATAAACTTAAAACTAACTTGCAATTAGTTGTAAACTGTTCTAAAGTGATTTTTCTTATCTTTAGGCAAGTGGTTACAGTTTGGTCCCTAGACAGAAAGGCTTGGATCTGGACCATGCCATCCTCGTTCTCAATAGTTTAGGGAGGTACCACGGGATGGCAAAGGTACTCGAACAGAGGGGAATCATCTCCAAAGATAACTACAGACCTTATGTTTTGTTGACCGACTTAAAAATGGTCAAAGGTTTTCTTTACGCAGGTATTTCAAACCTTTCTAAGGTTATGCAGGAGACCTGGGGCCCTGAATGGTAAGCTCTAGAATCTATAATTATGGTCGTATTATTACTAATAGCATGCTTGATAATAATAAGTTTTGATAGCAATGATTTTATTCACAAATTCATAATAAATAGATTGATAGACGGAGGTGTACTATTTTGTTGCAAAAAATAATATTGTTTTTTTTTTTCGTTTTGTGCCATAAATTTGTTGCTGAAACTAGTTCTTAATTTATTTATTAATTGAGTAAAGGATTACCTTTTTCCTCAATAAGGATGTGATAGGACAAACACCGAAATATATTGCATAATATGAAATGAAGTTCTTAGCTTTTTTATTTATTTTTTTAATTAGGTGCTTGCAAGAATTTTCAATTGTTATTTGTCGGTGAAGATTAAGTTAACAATAAAACGAAAAAGTCCTGAATTTTTATAATGCACACGCAAAGATAATACATAATCGTTAATAAACGTTAAAGATAAGTGGAGGGAAAGGAAATATCAACGCCTAGTTCATACTAGAGATAGGCATGTGAATTGAGATCAATGATTCGATTATTCTGAAAGAATCGTGTTTCCAAGTAATTCACACGAAATAATCCAAAAACCACCCAAAAAAAATCGGTACCGGTCAATTTACCAGAATCGGTAAATTTTCAATTCTTGAGAACCGAAGAATTGAAAATTCACTAAGAATCTTCCAATCGTAATTGTGGTGCATTATTAGCTGAGTTGTTTTGTTTACTTTCGGAATCTACTCTTTCATGATCATTTTACACTTCAGACACTTTTGACCTGTAGTTATTTACATTACTGTGTTGTTTATTTATTTATATTATCTCTCTGTTTGGATATATATATATTTTTTTTTAATTACTTATTACACTGTTATTTTTATCATCATCATAATCCATCCTCTTGAACCGCATTAAGCAGTGTGAGGAGGAAGTTTATAGAATCTTCTTCACCTCTGCCGGTCTTCCACAAGATGCCTTCTATCGTTCCATTGAAGACCTCTTCTCTGGAAATCGCTCTTCACCTCATCTTCCCATTTCCTTCTTGGCCATCCTCTTCCCCTCTTTAGCTAAATAGGCTTCGCTAGCTATTCTGTTCGGTTCCTAGCCATCTCAGTCGATTATATATATATATATATATATATATATATATATATATATATATATATATATATATAATATATATATATATATATATATATATATATATATATATATATAGAGAGAGAGAGAGAGAGAGAGAGAGAGATAGAGAGAGTTTTTTCTCTCTTGTACTTTTATTTTTAATTACCTATGCACTGTTATTTTTATAAATTTTGTATTTATAATTTGTTCTAAAGGGACATCAGTCCTAGGATAATAAATCTATTTTCATTAATTTATATACAGCATAAGATTCATATTTTTTATTGGGATAAATGTGAACCATTACTTTTAATTTCAATCATTTAAAAAGAAAAAGAGAAAGGTTTTTGTTTGAATAACTATAAGGCTTGAGAATGTTTTTTTTTATTCAATAAGAAGTTCTTTTTTAATTTAAATAAAAATAGAATTTCCCATATCTATTTCATACCATCGGGTATCTATTGACGTTTTGTTAGAATATTTTTTCGAAAAATAATAATAAATACTTCATAAAATTTTTTTTCTATATAAAAAAGAACAATGATTAATAAATATGCTAATTTGCAGGAAAGAGACCGCAAAGAAACTGAAGATATCATTCGACCCATTTGCTAAAAAATGGCTCAGCATGGGAGTGGTTCAAACTGAGACCAATTTCACAGTTCTCAACCACGGCGATTGCTGGTCTAACAATATGATGTTCAAATATGATTTTCAGAACAGACCTATCGCAATGAAGTGAGTATATAATACAGTATAAACATATATATATAATTATTTATTAACAAGAACCTCTCGAGAATTCTTCCATCAATCTCTTTTATACCGGTTTGAACATTCACCTTTTTCGGATTACCATCCTTTTCAGTACGTCTACCACCTCTCCTATCATTCTCCCTCGTAAAGCCTGTGCGGATTGAAATTATTTCGTTTTTTGAATTATTGCACGTATCTTGCCATTCTGATAGTAATGAAATGAAATGAAAATATTTTTATAATCTTGGGACTGTTGTCCCTTTAGAACAAAGTATAAATACTGAGAAAATGTCTGTGTGGCCATACATTAAATCAATTATTTACAAAATAATATCTGATTAAAAATAAAAGTACAGAAAGAAAAAAGAACAAAACATAAACATACACGCACACGCATATATATATATATATATATATATATATATATATATATATATATATATATATATATTATATATATATATATATATATATATATATATATATATATATATATATATATATGCGTATATATATATATATATATATATATATATATATATATATATATATTAAGCAAACCAAAATAAAATTACATTAATGAACAACATGGTTTCTAAAGGATCTTAAAAAGTCGGATTGGGAAAAGATTAGGTGCTCAAAAAGGAGAGATTTAAGGAAACTGATCGTGCATTTCGGATATCAGGAGGGATGGTATTCCAGAAGGAGACTTGAATGAATTACAAAGGATTTGTCAAACGTAGCAGTTCGGTGAGGAGGAGAATAGAGGTCAGAAGTACGAGATCTGGTGGGACGGCATTAAATGGATGATTTGAATTGTAGGCTCTGAAGAATATAGGATTGTCTCTGACTTCTAATGGCTTCGTATAGAAAGGTAGTGCAAGGAAGTATTGGCGGCAGTAGAATAGATAGAGCCACTTCAACTCCGTGTAATAGTCGGTAATTTGCGTATCTCTCGAGATTCCGAAAATAAAGCGTATCGAGCAATTCATTAGGCGTTTAAGTTTGGCTTCACGTTCTCCAGGGAATCCACCGTACACCAAAAACCACAGTCAAAGTGAGGAAAAACAAGAGTGGAAACCAGGAGTTGACGGGATTTGTAGGGAAGGAGAAAGCGTTGACGGTTTTGAAATGTTTTAGGGTAGAAATAGTACGACGGGAAATTTGGGATATGTGTGGTTTCCAGGAAAGGGTATATAGTAATCCTTAACCGAAATATCGAAAGAATCTATGGAAAGAATCTTTTCTTATTCCGATTCACAAAAAGGGTCCGAGGACGGATTGTAATAACTATCGAGGAATTTCACTCCTTCCGGTATGTTATAAAATATTCACTTTAATCTTAACCAGTCAAATCACGGAATACGCCGAGGAAATTATCGGAGACTACCAAGCGGATTTAGACGGAATCGTTCGACTATTTATCAAATATTTTCTTTACAGCAAATATTAGATAATAAAATGGAGTATAACGGTATTGTTCACCAGCTGTATATAGATTTTAAAAAGGCTTACGATTTTATTGACTTATCGGGGACTACCAATGCGGATTTAGACGTAATCGTTCGACTATTGATCAAATATTTTTAAAATAATTGGTAATTGGTTGACTGTCGTGGATAATGAAGAGAAGAATAGTTGGGGTGCTCAGTCAAAAAAGGAAGGCAAAAAATAAATTATAATATTTATAATTAAATATTAGAGAAAAAATTGGAGTATAACGGTATTGTTCACCAGCTGTATATAGATTTTAAAAAGGCTTACGATTCTATTGACCGCCAGAAACTGTATAATATTCTAATCCAGCAGGGGATTCCAAAAAAAACTAGTAAATCTAGTCAGGATGTCCTTGACAGAGACACTCAATAAAGTTAGAATCGGTAATAATTTGTCCGAAAAATTTGAGGTTCGTTCGGGTTTAAATCAGGGGGATTCTCTTTCGCCTGTCCTGTTTAATTTGGCATTAGAACATGCCATTAGGGAGGTAATGCGAACCGAGAAAGGGTTGGATCTGGGCGGGACAACATCCGTGCCGGGCTATGCTGATGATCTGGTACTGTTAAGCGAAGACGTTGAAACTATAAAACTAAATACGACAACGTTAATGAAAGCCGGTAAAGAACTAGGAATCGAAATAAACGTGGATAAAACAAAATATATGGTTAGCTGCAAAAATGGCGATACTACTGGTAATATCGATATAGATGGTAATATGTTTGAACAGGTAGATAAATTTAGGTATCTAGGTTCTACAATAACTAGAAAAAACGAAATTGAAGAAGAGATAAAGGTTAGGCTGAAGGCGGGGAATGCTTGTTATTTTTCTGTGACAAAACTACTTAGTTCGCGCCTCTTGTCCCGGAACTTAAAAATTAGAATCTATAAAACAATTATCTTGCCTACAGTTCTTTATGGATGCGAAACTTGGCCGCTTACATTAAGGGATGAGCAGCGTCTTAAGGTTTTTGAAAATAAAGTATTGCGTAGAATATTCGGACCGAAGGATGACTTAACCGGAGAGTTCAGACGGTTACACAACGCCGAATTGCGTGAGCTGTATCCGGGTAATGTAATTGAGGTAATTTCATCGCGGCGAATCAAATGGGTCTGTAAAGTTGTTGGGCTTAGTAACGAGAGAATTCCTAAAAGGTTAATATTTGCTGTGCCGAATGGTAAGCGTCCGAGGGGTAGACCGAAGCGAAGGTGGGAAGATTGCATTAAAGCCGATTTGAAGGGACTGGGTTTGGACGGCGAACGGTGGAGGGAGGTGTGTAACAAGCGATTGGTGGTGTCGGCATCGAACCTTCGGGTTCGCTAAGCCTTATTATTATTATTTAACCGAAATATAAAATTTGTACCGTCCTATCCTATTTCATAGATTAAATTATCAAGTACATAAATTAATTGCATTATCTTTTTCAGATTTTTGGACTACCAAATACCTCACTATAACACACCATGCATGGATGTCACCAATTTCCTTTACCTCGGTACCCAGCCATCAGTTCGTCGAAGCAACTACGAACTCCTGCTGAAGACTTACTACGACTCCTTGGTCAGAACTCTGGACAAGTTCGGTTTCACTGGTACCAAGCCAACTCTTGAAGATATAACCGATACAATGAAGCGACTCGAGTTCTTCGGACTGAGTTTCTTTGTAGGAATGTACTCTTCTATCATTTGTACGTCGACAGAAGCTTTTGACATTGAGAAACTTTTAATTAGTGATGGAGAAGAAGGGTTCAATGAAGAAGTTTTAAGAGAGCCTGGAATGATTGAATGCTTGGGGCCGGATATCATCGATTTTGTCGAGAAACATGTTTCTGGACTAAACTAAAATACTAACAGTATCTCATTAATTAATAAATGAAAAAAAATTAAAACCATGTGGTTATGTGCATTTATATAAATGTAAATTTTTATAAATTATTCTAAACTAGTTATAATAAATATAGCTACATATAGAATTTATAGCAGAATCCCGAAATGTTCATTACATTACCATATCATTTACAATAAAAAATAAATATATTAGGAGAAAAAAGAAACACAAGTAATCTAAAAAGCGAATGTAAATTATAAAAAGTATATTATGAATCAGTAGTTTGTTAAATAATTGATAAGATAATATTTGTAAATAATATCTAACATTAAATGGTTGATTTAATTGTTGATGATTATAAATATTCCATCTATTTCGAGTCAATAACACTTTAAAAATATACTACATAATATTGTAACAGACGTTGTAATTCACTTGGCCTCTTCACGATACCGCCACATGTGTGCACTCAAGCATTTTAACTTCAAATTCTATTTTTATTTCAAATTATTGTAATGTAAAAAAAAATACAATACAAATTTGTAAATAAATATATATTTTGTAAATATTTTATAATATAATATATAATATGTTAAATATATTATATTTTATTGCTTTGTATTGTATTATAGAATAGAATATATACTTTATTCTGGGTCTGGATTAAAATTGAGAAAAGTAAAAAAAACTGTACAAAATGAGTATTTTTCATGTTGTTGAGTAGTTTTCATGTACTTCTTAGTCAATAATTTATTAAAAATAAAGAATACTTGTTGATTATTTTTTATTTTTACCAACAAATAAAATAAACATTAAATTTATTAAGATTTTTCAAATATATCAATTTATAAATAAAGGATATTTATAGCTGTGAACCCTCTCGGCTCTTATTAACATTTATGAAACAAGATGTAGGGTCACTCTTTGTCCGGTTTTACATTTTTCAGACAAATTTTCTGTCAGTTTTTATTAAAAAAAAGTATTTTTCTTATTTTGAGGTCTAACGGATACAGGAATTAATATTAATATTATATTAATATTAACGGATACACGGATAACGGATACAGGAGGACATGCACTTATGTCCAATGACTGCGATAGAGTGTTCAATTGGTGGGGGACGTCATAGAGCATTCAGTCTTTGTTTTGTTAGCTTAATCCTCAGCTTTACAACGCTATTTTTTTTTTAATTATGCAGCAAAACATTAACATATATTTCAACACTTAATGTTAATGCTTAATCTTAATGCTATCTATGAAAGTCAAATCGTATATATTGTGTATATTCATAGTTCACTGATTTCTATTAATAATTGAGTATGTTAGAATAAATGCAGGGTAATTGGTTTTGCTTTTCGTTTAGATAGCTAATATTTTATATTAGTTAGAAAGCGAATATGTACTTTTGAATACTTCACATATATTATTGAAGAACATAGTATGTACTTTAACGATACATGTATAACAACGAGATATAATTACAAAACATATACCTACTGTGTCATTGTAACCAAATCAATTGTGTTTGAATGACATTAGACTGTTTCAAATATATGCCAATGATTTTTACATAATTTGAACCATAATAATAAAAACTACGTATTTTAATTGTATATAATATAATTATATATAAAGTATAATTGTAATATTGTAGGTACTTGAAACAATGAATGAAATGAAAGGGAAAAATTATTTTATTCTGGGAGTACACAGTCCCCTAAGAATAATAACATAGTTACAAATTAATGGGTCTTAGTCTGGCTTAGATTAATAAAAAATACAAACTAATTAACTGTTGATTTATATTGCAATTTTGCAGTAGATTGAAATTAAAGAGTATACAGATGCAAGTAATTTTACATGTTAGCGGAAGTTTGAATGGGGAGTAGGTTGTGGAACAGGAGTTGTTTGAAGCACTAGCGGATCCAGGATTTCATTTTGGGGTGGGCTTCCCATAGCCCGGAAGCTTTTTTTTCATATATATATATATATATATATATATATATATATATATATATATAAGTTAGCTGAGTATAAGCCATAAACAATAATAGGAACTGTGTTACTAGTAAGATTAACAAAGCATTGTAAATGAAAACAAACCGTATCTATATATATTGGATAAAGTAGATAATAAAGTCAGTTGCTCACGAACCTGTGTACTGTTACTATGCCCTAAAACCCTTTTTTTTCGATCAGTCTTTCAGTCTAATCGTAAGTTTTATATATATATATATATATATATATGGAAAAACAGGAAGATTCTAACTACATATATGAATTGGTTTTTAAGTGATACTTGAAGTCCTATTAAATGTAATTAAACGAGCAATAATACTTTAAGTTATATTTTACCATTTTGGGGTGGCTTCAGCCCGAAAACCTCTGTATATCCGCCTGTGGTTTGAAGGAATTTGTAGAGAAGGATTGAAGAATGAAGGTAGGGAGAGAGTTCCAAAAGGAGGCACAAATGACGAAGTATTTTCTAAAGGAAATAGTTTTATGAGAGGAGATATATATATACCGATAATTTCTTTGGAAAAACAGGAAGACTCTAACTACCTATATAAATTGGTTTTTAAGTGATACTTGAAGTCCTATTAAATGTAATTAAACGAGCAATAATACTTTATGACATAATTTTTTTATATTTTTTAACGTAAAACACGGTTATATTTTACCATTTTGGGGGGGAGGGGCTTCAGCCCGAAAGCCTCCCCGTATATCCGCCTGTGGTTTGAAGGAATTTGTGGAGAAGGATTGAAGAATGAAGGTAGGGAGAGAGTACCAAAAGGAGGCACGAATGACGAAGGATTTTCTAAAGGAAATAGTTTTATGAGAATATATATATATATATATATATATATATATATATATGAATGTATATATATATATATATATATATATATATATATATATATATATATATATATATATATATACATATATGAATTGGTTTTTAAGTGATACTTGAAGTCCTATTAAATGTAATTAAACGAGCAATAATACTTTAAGTTATATTTTACCATTTTGGGGTGGCTTCAGCCCGAAAACCTCTGTATATCCGCCTGTGGTTTGAAGGAATTTGTAGAGAAGGATTGAAGAATGAAGGCAGGGAGAGAGTTCCAAAAGGAGGCACAAATGACGAAGTATTTTCTAAAGGAAATAGTTTTATGAGAGGAGATATATATATACCGATAATTTCTTTGGAAAAACAGGAAGACTCTAACTACCTATATAAATTGGTTTTTAAGTGATACTTGAAGTCCTATTAAATGTAATTAAACGAGCAATAATACTTTATGACATAATTTTTTAATATTTTTTAACGTAAAACACGGTTATATTTTACCATTTTGGGGGGGAGGGGCTTCAGCCCGAAAGCCTCCCCGTATATCCGCCTGTGGTTTGAAGGAATTTGTGGATGAATATATATATTATATATATATATATATATATATATATATATATATATATATATATATATATATATATATATATATATATATATATATGTAGGATATATAAATCTGTAGGTTGAGAGCTGGTATTGAGAGAGTGGATAGAGCAACAGAAGTAAAATAAAGTCACTCAGTGTACCTGAAAGAAACATGTGATACATTGTCACACTCTCAGTTTTCTAGTAAACAATTATTTTTATCTTTCGAAACCTATGTAAAATGACAGTGAAATTTATTTTCACTTCTAAAGTATAATTAAGGCGTTTTGAATTATACATTTTTTGTTTTAATTTTGTGAAATATTTTATGTATAGTTTATGTATTTTCAAACCACTTTGATGTCATAACTAAGCAAAAAACATAAAATGAGATATTTAATGGTTGAAAAGAGGGAACAGTGGTTAAATTTCTACTAGTTAGAGGACAGCCACGAGCGGATTGACCGACCAGTTGGAGAGTCTCCCTCTATGCATCCGTTTCTTATACGTCGAGCACCTTTATTGTTGTCATTTCCACCGCGTATATTATCTCTGTACTTGTTCAAATTATTTCATTTATTGTAATTCACGTTTGACTACAGTTTGTAGCAAGTCAGTTGGAAAAATAAAAATTATAATACTAATTACACAGCGGTTTTGGCCAAATAAAATACGTAAAAAATGTCATTACCAAGTTGAAAACTCGTGTCATTCCCACAACCGAATTATAAGGTTGTAAGGAACAAAATGCACTTTTGACCTTAGCTATTTGCTCAGATAAAGCTGAGCGGCAATAGAAGGTGTAGGTATTTAGAAAATTTTATTGAGATGTCAAAATTTTAAAAATTTTATGATGAAAAGCCGATAATGAGAGAATCATCTATATACAGAAGTTACTAAGAACCTTGTATTTCTTGTATTCATTTGTTTGTAGTTCTAGTATTCTTAAAATGTCCAAAACCAGGCTTAAAATAACTATTGTAAGAGGATATCGACTGCATCAACAGATTAACAGAAATAAATGAATTAAAGCTGAATTCAGATAAAACTAAGGCTATTCTTATCGGGTCCAAGTATGTCATTATCTCTCTTCCCTAATTTACCTCAATAACCGTCCCATCTATTTTTTCCCTACAGTCAAAGATCTAGGAATAACATTTGACCAGAATCTCTCTTTATATATATAAGTAAATGAAAGTAAAAATGGACAGACAAGCGAAAGAGAGTGTTCAGTGAGATAATGAAGATAATGATGGTTATTAAGAAGGCTGAGAAATGATATACGCGCGGTCTTTCGGTGAACATTTCTGTTTTTACTTCATTTTGTTATTCTAGTTTATTGCACATATGCACTGACCTATATTTGTTTGCTTTAGTGCCATTTTAAAACCATTCAACACCGTATTGTCTCACTTAATTAGATTAGCTTATTTAAGATAAGGCATAGTGGTGCAATTGATTTTAAATGTTCTTATAAAACATCTTGAAATCCTTAGAGTATTGCCCTTGAATTAAATTACCCTACTCAGTTTGCTTTTACATCAGCCATTCAGTGATATATATTTCGGGTGCAGCGGCGGTTGGTAGTCATAGTGTCGAAGAATCTATCCGGAATTAAGGTAGGAGTATTTCTTACAATTTCTTTGCAATATTACTTACCTATTTATGGAAAATTTTTGCGATCGTGAAAAATTTCGAATCTGTGTTTTCAACGGAGAACCACGTTTTGAGGTGCCCTGTAGTGTTGCCCGAACGCGAGACCAAGAGGAGACTTGGTCTTATAAAGTCAATTTTGGTCTAGGTCTTGGTCTTGAGCAAGAATCTCGAAACGGTCTTGCAGTTACCTATTAGCTTAGTATTATAGTGATATTACTGTATTTTTTTTTAGATTGGGGAAACCTAACTAAACCCGAATGAAAACATTGTAGAGTTAAATGTAAATTATATTGGTTATACCAATTCTTTACATATAGTATCTAAAATTGCAAAGCATTGGTAACTATTTTGCCTTGATTTTTATTTTAAAAAAACGATTTTTTTTCCCCAGTCTTGGTCTTGCAAGACCAAGACCGATTTTGGGCAACACTAGTCCCCTGAGTCCAAATA